AGACTTCAAAAATGCATCACCTTCATCTTCAAACTGCTGTAGGAGACAACTGGCAGCTTGCATGCGCACCATTTTGTTCACTTTCGTCAAAGTGCATCACCTTCATCTTCAAACTGCTGTAGGAGACAACTGGCAGCTTGCATGCGCACCATTTTGTTCACTTTCATCAAAGTGCGTGGTACCCACCGTGCATTCACCTTGCGATAGTGCAGGTGGTATTTCACGATGTCTTCTACACTACCAACACTGATGGACAACATTACTCCAAGTTCCTTGATAGTGATATGCCTATTCTCACGAATAAGCACGTCTGCACGATCAGTGTTCGGCTCGGTGATGGATGTTCGAGGCCAACGATCATGCGGTTCATTCTCCACGCGCTCTCTGCCCTCTCTGAAGCACTTACACCACTCAAACACATGGGTCCATGAGAGACACTCTTCCCCATACTGTTGTTTGAGTCTGTGTTGAATTTCAGTGGACGGGACGTTTTCTCCAACGAGGAATTTGATCACAATGCGTTGTTCCACGCTCCGCGGTACCTTCTGTACACTCATCCCTCTAACAACTCCCAGACAGCACTGAACAGGTTCTAACCCTAACAGGAGGGAGAGTGGAGGTTGTGGCTACATTCTCTCAAGGTCACACAGCTGCTGCGCAGTGTGGCTTGTTTACAAAAAAATCAGTCCCGGTCATATTTGAACCACCTAGTACAATAGATTACATAAATACAATTAATTACATAATTACAATTTTTAATCCATCACAATTACATCACTTTCTGATTGTGTTATTTAAGAAATTTATTACTGTCAAGAAAGGTGTATGAAAGATTTAACACCAACATAATTTGACGATTTTTAATAAAAATTGGAGTTTAAGAACTCATCGACCGAGTAAAAGAATTTGAGATCAACAATGATTTTACTTCCTTTTTAAATCTTCTGAAATTTTCTAAAATTCTTATTCGTTCTGATAATTTATTATATGATCTACTTGCCTTGTTTAACACATTATTCTGAAAAAGAGCTGTCCTATGAGCAGCGATATGTAATTTATTTTTGTCTCTAGTGTTGTACTCGTACTTTTGGAAATTACATTCCAGATTGTCTCTCAGTTGTTTGGTAAAACATAATGTGGCCAAGATATAGAGAGCGGGCACAGTCAGAATTTTGAATTGAAGAAATATAATTCTACAAGACGTTCTTTTGTTCACCCCTGCTATTAATTAACCTTTTTCTGTGTCCGAAAGACTATTATACTACTTTTCACTGGTCCCCAGAAAATTATTCCATATTTCAGTCTTGACTGTAAATAAGAATAATAGATAGATCTAATCATTTTATAGCTCATGGTTTCCTTTAAACTTTTCATAATAAAGTAAGCCATATTTAAATTTGTACATAGAGATTTAATATGGTTGTTCCATCTCAGATTTTCAGTAATTTTTATTCCTAAGAACTTTACATCAGATTTATAAGGGATTTCTACATCATTATAAACAATACTAGGTTTACAAACTCTTTCCCTTTGTCTTCCTAATATTTAATATTAGCTCATTCTTATTGAACCAACTTTCTAAGCGGGTCATTAGAAGAGTTGTTTTTTCTTTAAGCTTATTTTCTTCTTTATCTACAATCGAGATATTTATATCAGCATAATGTCTGTTAATGATACAGTTTTATTAGTATGGAGGCTTTGCAGATGCATCCATTTGACTATGTAATTAAACATTCTGTTGTAGGTAAAAAACCATACTGCTGCCTGGCCATTTCTTAAACCAGTCGACAAGAATGAAGTACCAGATTATTATGACCATATCAAATATCCTATGGGTAAGTCACATGGGAGGGAACTATATTCATATTGAGTATAATATTAATGAGTTTACATTGTGTATGATGATAATATGATTGTATTAACAGACCTGAAAACAATGGGTGACCGCCTCAAGGCTCGTTACTACACGACTCGAAGACTCTTCATTGCAGATATGACTCGAATCTTCTCCAACTGTCGCCTCTACAACAGCCCTGATACTGAGTATTATCGTTGTGCAAATGCTCTTGAGAAATACTTCCAGACACGCATGAGGGAACTTGGACTGTGGGATAAATGAACTTTACATATCTGTAATATTTCTACTTGTGGTCTTCATTGCCAGGCCATTTAAACAAGCAGTAGGTTCCTCATCCTTTTCCAGGAAAAGTTTGTATTTTTTTCTAGATTACCCATTGCAGCAGAATATTGATTTTCTAAGTCACTGTTACTGAATGTCATGGTTGAATGATTTAGACTCTTGTTTGGTGTATTCACAAGCTTCATTCTAGGTTCAGAGTTCAACTTAACGCAGAACAGTGTGTCAAAGTTTTGTGGTTTTCTCGGTCACTCTAGGAAAATGCCTGGCGAGAATCTTAAAATAGGCCATGCTTCCTTTTGTCAATCTCATTCATGATTCATAATCACTCATCCATTTGATCCTGTATAACACACATAAGTAAGTAAAGAAAGTAAAGGTATCCCTGTAACAGGCCATGGAGGCCCATAGGGCTGTGAGATGTTGAGGTTTCTACATTTTCTAGACGAGCCATGTAAAACATGCGGCCCCCATAGCCACAAAGTGTGGCCCCTCAACTTTTAGAGCTAATTGATATTAAAATTTTAGTAGAAATATTTTTTGTAAAGACAATTTTCCAACAGACCAGATGACAAGAGGTCTCACGCAGACATAAATTAGCAGGCTGCAGGAAAAGTGATTCTGAGAATTGCAGGAGGGTTTGTCCAACTAATGGTTTGTAAAGTTCATAAAGGACAAACTATTGTATTTCAGAAGCTTAATGCACTAAAATCCGCACAGCCTCACCACCCCAAGTATTTCCAAGAATCCCTTTTGGAGGCATATTAAACATCAAATTATCAACTACGAGTTTTCTTGTATATGTACAGTAAATTTTAAAGGCCAATTTCGCTTTCAAAAAATTCAAGTAGCAAAATAAGAACTATTGAAAGTGAGCGCCGTGTTTTTCAAGGAAAATGGGAAATCGCTTATTTCTGTTGTGAAATAGAAGGTAAAATTACATGTTTGATTTGTGGGCAAAATATAAGTGTTCCACTTTAGGTAATTATATTGAAATTATTCCTAAATAATAAATAGAATTAAATTTCCTTGTATCAAAATCTAATGTATTGTAACGTGTTTCGTTACTGATGACGCCGTTCGGATTGTTAACTGGTTTATTCAACAATCTACAAGCAACGGCTACAATTAATTATAACAATGTTAAGGGTTTCAACACTTTACAAACCCTCCAACCAAATTTCTTCACACAATCTTCAAGAGTCTTCACGTATTAATAACACAGGGGCTATACAAATCTCTCTGGGTTACGCACTCCAAATATAACTGGTTATCACGAACTATCACTGATTCTCGCACACGCGTCTGTAACTCGTAACTTGTGGACTGAGAACTGTCATCGGCGGCTGTGTAGCTCCCTTCTTAGGATTGTTCGTCCCGAGCAATTCCATGGTCCACCGTTCGCTGATCTGTTGTTTCACATTCACTCCTCACTTTCATTCTCTCCTCATTCACCCTGGGGAGGCTGGTGTTTCTACATTACCGGTTCCTCCTCTGCTTGCTCTGCTTCTTTTTTGGAGGGGGCCTACCCCTCCACAAGGTACATTTTATTTTTCTTAACCCGTTGGAAGTACCGGCTACTTGTCTCGCGATCCTTCCTCTGAAAATCACATTGACGGTCTTCTTTTCTTCCTTGTCGGCCTTCTTATCGGCTGCCACCTTTTCTTGGTAGGCATCTAATTTTGCCATTAAATTTTCATTGTCTTTCTTTCTATTGGCCTCCATTTGTGCTTGGCCAGCTCTGATTTCCTTGAGCAGCATTTCCATCATCTGCTGCATCTCCATTTTGTAGCAGTAATACTCGATGCACAATAATTCAATTATTTGTTGAGGCGTGTTCGAGTTCGTGAAACAATTCTGACACAAAATTGTCACGTGTCTTGAGTTTGAATCTCGTTTGTCACGTGTGTAAGTCCAAATCCCGCTTCTGACACCAATTGTAGAACCGACATAATGAGAGTATGGACCACTTGTCACATGAAGTTGAGGAGTGGCCTCCGATGAGCCCTTGAAGATGATGTACTCTCCACCTTCCTCATCCCAATTCACAGCACTGTTGTTACGGAGATTTATCTCCTTCATGTCATTTTGCAAATATTTGACTGTGAATTGATGAGCTGGATGGGGGATGGTGACACCTTCAATTGCATCTCCACCAGTAACCAATGCCCAACTTAAATTTCTGAGTAGATTAGCTAAGCTTGTTGGACAGATATTACCAACCATTTTGGAGCCTTGTGTTACCTTACACAAGTTGAAAATTTTCAACCAATCCTGTATGCAACTACTATGTATCTGATCTAGTCGTTTTGACATACCTTCAAGATTCTTGACTGTTGTACAGGATTCTTGTAGTCTTGGTGTTTTTATACTTTGATTAGTAGGCAAGCTTTGTCCCTTGTACAGTGTTTCTGAAAATCTCATGCATGATTCTAGGATGACATGGTCGACATGCTAAGAGATATTGGAAGAAGTAAGAGTCATGCTCTTTTTGTCTCT